GGAGAATACTTTTAAAAATTATGAAATGTAATAATTATAATTTTGCCATCCACAGAATGTTAGTGTAACAAACAGGTCACAATTACTTCTTAGTTTTCATTAGGAATTAAGGATTCTAAAGGTTAGACTTCTAATCAGTGCATTCTAGAAACTTTATGAAATCCCTAGAAACATGTCTTAGTATCATCAGTTGTTAATTCCAGTTATTATCGTAACATGTTGTGCATCACAGAAATAAACACATTTCCCTGTCAGTTCCATTACAATGCACTCTGATCAGATCTTTAGGGACAGGCATACTAGGGACTCTCGACCACTGACACGACTGATAGATCACAAGGTGCTGAGCCGTGGGTGCACATTTCACAAGTGAGGAAGGCTCCACCTGACCTCTGGTCCTGTGCAAAGGCTGGAGCCCTCACAGTCAGACTGGGGAAAAAAATAGCCAACGTCAGAGTAGACTGCTTCCCACCAAGATGTCAGATCAAAAACACTTCTTTCCATTTCTCCTTCCCTCTCTGACCATTTTTTCCCTAATTCTTAAACTATGAATCTTGATGATTCTTTTGCTCACTACTTTTGCCTCGCCCTGGCCTAGAAAGATAACGCCATTGTTCCCATATCTTGGGCCACTGTAAAGGGTGGTCATCCAACCTCCAAACAACTGCTGGATTTGCTATCATGAGGGTGATTCTTGAGTTCTGCTCGTCCCAAATGTCTCCCTGAGTTTCACTCCCTTTGTTCCTCTGGGGCAAACTCAGCCTCCTCTGTTGTGTCAGAGTCCTGAGCCCAGGAGATCCACCTCCCTTCCTCTGGTTAACAACCCAGACTGGGGGAAAGTTGCATCCAGGCTCTGTGTCCAAGAAAGGGACACGAGGCAAAGGTGGCCGGAATAAAACCACCTGTGCAGTCTACAGACCCTTGCATGTTACTGGCCTGCATGGTAATCATCTTTAAGTCCTGTTCCACAGACTACGCTGTGACCAACACCACCTCTGCACCTGGATTAAATACTTCGGGGAAGTTGAGACTCGGCTACCCAAGATCACTCAGTAAGCCAGTGGGCTCCAGAGCAATAGCTGGGAGTAGTGCTAATGCCTTAAATTTTGATCACATTTCTCAGCTAGGCTGAGAGTCTGATCAAAGCGGGGAAATTGTTAAAAACAATTTTTTAAGAGAATGGGCTCAAAATGGAATTGCCGACCACCATACTGACACTTAACTATGGTCTGGGCTCCCCCAGAAATGGCATCTGAAACCTGTCAATTGGGGATAGCCTGGTCAGCCCTGGTGCGGTGCCTGCCTGAGAGACCCCTGCCAGCCCTGAAGGGCAGCGACTCTGCAGCGACCAAGTCGCCTGCTCACCCAGGGTGGCTCCCTTGTTCCTGCTGCCCCCGCCTATAAGAGTCTGTATTTGCTCAGCTCCTCAGAGCCCCTTTCTCTCCGCTAGGCTGAATGCTGTCTGGTTCATCAATCAGTGAATAGAGCCAATAATATCTTATAAATTTACTCAAATTTTGTTTAACACCATTCCTCAAAGGCAAAGCCCCTGTTCTCCAAATCCTTCATCTGCCAACTCCGGGGACCTGTAGTAAAAACTGTTCCATGTCTCTCTCCTAATGTGTTCAGATTGAGGTCCAGCTCCTTCTCTACAGCAAAACAAGACAGACTGCTGTGCCCTTAGACACCCTGCTTGCTTCTGCACCTGTGTTTTTGCCTTGGCATGGCCTCTCAGCCCTAACCTTTCTAACCTTCCTCCTCCCTGAGAGGTCCCTGAAGTCAAACTCAGGCAGCATCTTCAAGAAGCCAGAAGTCCCGTCCTCTTGGATTCCTTTTAGCACCTTGTTTAAAGTCTCTGAGTACTTCATACGTAAGTGCTGCAAGTTTCTTATTGCTCTGGTATGCAAAAATCCTAATAGGTTTATGAATTGTTGATTTGAACTCAAACTCTTAGAACTCTGGCCTCTAGCATGGTTCCTAGAATATAGCGAGGGTTCAACTGTTTTGAAACTATTCACTTCTGAGTATTATCCTTATCTCTTTAGTTAACCTTGAAACACTACCTAATTTCAATGTCTTTTCTTCAGGTTCAATTCTGCTGGTCCCTGAGGACAGCACCCAGACCAGGTGTTCCTGTTTGTATGCCCAGCACAGCAGTGCATTTGATTCACCCAGGGATCTTGTTAAAATGCAGATTCAAATTTAGTAGGCCCAGGAGTTTAGCTTTCTAACCGGCTCCCAGATGATGATGTTCTTCTAGGGACCACATTTTGGAAAGCAGGACCCTACAGCATTCGGGAGAGTATACACCTGTCACTCAAGAATGCTGGGAGGAAATCATCAGAGATTTTCCGATGCTTCTGGATCCACTCTGACTCTGGTGCTTTAAAACATAAACTGCATGATGCTTTTCTTTTCATGGACAGGGATTACTAAATGAATAAATGTATCTACCAAGTATTTGCATTTAGGTAGAGCCTGGGAAGATCTAAAATACACTCTGGGGTCTTTTCTGGTAAGTAGCGTAAGAATATCTAACATCTGATGTAAAAATATACACATAAACATATAGTTCCACATGTATCTAGAAATCAGACATAAAAACAATGGCTTCCACACCATGCAGATGCTTCCTTCTGGAAATTATGATATGGGCAAGGGCAACACATATGCAACACATCTGAGATCACAAACTCATAAGCAGTGAAGGAAGAAGAGCTGTAAGAACAAAACATTCCCTTACGATACCTCTACTCATCAGTACTTTGGTGAGTTGGAGACTCAGACCCATCCATAATGGGCGAGTGTTCTGTTGCTTCTCTGAACAAAGGAAAGCAGAAGGAGGAAGAGAAGAGAGGTCATGTTAAAGAGAGGAACTGACACAGACATGATTTGTAGCTCATTGATACACTGGAGAGACCAGCTGAATACACACCCGAGTGTTAGTGACAAATAAGTCATGCAGAACTTTAACCCCCATGAGTGAGTCAAAAGACCTCTCTAGTTTTGTTAGGAAGGCAGGCTTTGGCACTTTCTGTCCATTTCTCATTGTCTTGCCACATCACAGAGAATAGTTGTTAATGATAACTCAATCTGATAAAGAGTTTTACTACAAGGACCAAAATATCTTTGCTTCAAATTTCTTGAGTCCTCATTTGTTATATGTGGTGAAACACAGGCAGGTTTTAAGACCAGCTGAAGTGTGTAGGCATGTGAAAGATTGTAAATTTCAGAGCCCGCAGTCAGTTAAATAAATATATTTGGATCAGGTGAGACGGCATCATCCAGAAACTTTGGAGGGTCCAGAAAAAGAGCCTGCAATCTGAAGTCCCTTATTCAGATGAGATGGTTTACCACTGGAGGTACCATAGATACAGAAGATTGGTTGTTTTTTTATGAATTAATCTTGGTGAGACTCCTGGGCACTGGGCCTAGCAGGAGATGCCAAACCACACAAGCTAGAGCTGGGGTGTGGATGCTGTGTTAAGGGAGTGTTTTCATGATCTGCAGTGAGGAGAGGGGGGAAGTTCCTGCCCAAAAAACTGACGAAGAAGTGGGAGCGGACACAAGAACACTGTCAAACTTGAGCGGGCATCGGAATACCTGGGAGGGTTTGTTAAAACACAGACCGCCGGGCTCCACCCCCAAACTTTTTGACTCAGTAGGGCCACGGATGGATCTGAAAACCTGCACTTCTAACAAGATCCCAGGTGATGTTCATGCTGCTGGTCTGGGGACTGCACTTTAAGAACCACTGGCCTAGTGGAAAGAGGGCTTTGGGGTCCCAGAGCGCAGGGCTGAAATTCTAGCTCCACCCAGCCACATAACTTCAGGCAAGGCACTCATTTTCTGTTAGCCTTGTCTAACTAAAAGATCTGATACTTCCGAGCGAGGCTGCAGTGAGGATTATATGAGCTCATACACGTTAGTAGTTTCCAGCCTTTGAGTACAGAGCAAGCACTTAATAAACGTTAGCTCCACTATCTTCTGTCAAATGCTAAGACCCCCTAAAGCCTGGTTTAAAATCACTACAGATAAATCTGCAGAAACGAAGTACGTCTGCCAAGCATGAGACTCAGAAATGCAGTCAGTGGAGCCAACTCTGGTTCTCTTGTTTTCTCATGATTCAACTCACACAAGAGTTTTCAGATTTTTCTAGACATCCCCAGCAATGCTCCAGCAAATGAGCAGCTCACTAAATCTGGGTAAAGGGACCCTTTACTCCAGCAGACACTGGTAGTATATGTAACATCCACTTACAGACGATGTCTTAGGAGCAACAAAAGAGGCAGGAACCGTGCAGAAAGCAAGCTACATGCACCTGCCAGACTCTTCAGCAGATCAGCACAGCCTGTATGTCCTTGATATCACGATGTCTGTTTACTCTGCAAGCTATAAAAGGGGCTGTATTTTGGCTTCCTTATCTTGCTGTGGGTCCCTTAAAGGTCTGATCCCCTTTAGGTGTCAATTAAGCAGTTGGCCAGGAGAGAGAGAGGATTTGAGCATTTTCCCTTTCTTCTTAAAATGCGTCTTGATACCAAAAAAGTGGGCACCCTGAGGAGCAGGTCAAACATGGGACTGGGGCCCAGCATGGGGTGCTTACACTGGCCTCTCTCTCCCTTCCCTCCTTCACACCTGGCACCTGGAAGTGGTCCTGGTCTAACTGGAACCCAGCTTACATGTTCAAAGCGGCACAGTTGGCCTCGCGGCACCACCTCCCCCACGGTCCTGGGGCCACCGCCCATGTTACAAGGCAGTAGAGAGAATTCCCGTCTAAAGGGATAGTGATAGAAAGCAGAGGGGTGGGAGGAACAGCGCTTCGTGGGGCTGCTTTGGAAAGGAAGAAGGCTCCCAGGGATGGAGGGCACTTGTTATATTTTTACTGATAAACCTTCTGTTACTAGGATCGCATACGCATTACACTCTTCCTATCTGACAAGGCAGGCCAAGGATCATTCTAGAAGCTGGAAGAAGAGGATAAAAGATCTGACAGAACTCACCCAGTCTGCCAGGTTAAGATGTGGTGGGGACTGCTTGGGGGGGTTGCTCCAATTTCACTGGAAGGCGTTGAGCTTCTCTGGCTTTGAGGTAAGGCAGCTGTATGCAGGTGGTGCAGAAAGACAGGGGTCAGACACCAGTCAAGTGAAGGAGCTTCTTTCCAGAGATGCTGAGTGTCACCCCGTAGCAGGGTCACACTGCGGAAAGATCCACCTCCCCCATATTCACCCAGTTACATCTCCTCCCCCAGACCATGCAGCAGCTCTGCCCTGACTTAATAACCTGGGAGCCTAAGCCCTTGCTTTACCACTGGGAGGTGGCCCCATGCATACACGGATGGCAACAGCCTCCACAGGAGCAAAGAACCTGCCCCCGCCCCAGGCCTCTGAGGGACTCCTGGGCAGGGCTAATGCAGGGGCCCCATTTCTTTGGACACCAGGGCATTTGTAGATGCGGCCCCAGAGTCAAAACTGTGCCTTTGCCTTGAACAGAAAGGTTCTCAGAGCTTGCCCTCTGCTGTTTCAGGCTTAGGATGTACCCCTTTGGACATTTCAAGGGGCCCAGGGCTTTTAATAGCTCATCCAAATCTGACTACTAGGAGTTTATTCACACAGGTAATATTTTTCTGGTTGGGAAAGTTTAGTAGGAAATAAAACCTCCTTAAATGCTGCCTTTGCTTTCTTGAGAATGGAACCTTTTTCATCAGGAAACCTCAGATAACAGCTCTTAAAATTTTAGTCTAAAACACGTTGCAACAGATTGTATCTAAAGCAAACCTACTACGCAAGTGCTAAGATTGTAATGGAAGCTAAACACCCCCGGCCCTCTGTCAGAGAGCTGCTGCTTCTAACAGGCTGCAGAGGCTCACGGTCCTGAAATGGCCTACATAACACGCCCATTCATTCACTCTCATAGTGCCCTGGGGAGGTCGATAGCAGTTTTCACTGGGCTTGTTTTATAGACAGCGGAGGAATATGGAGATGGTTGTAGGATTGTGAAGTCCACAGTTCTCTCTCTTGATTGAACGAATCATTTCCATTATCATCTCTGTGATGTGTCATCTGATGGCTGTGCCATATAAAGGAGCCAATGGGGTTGTAGGGATAGAACGCAGGGGCCGCGTGGCCTGGCCCACCCGGGCAGCTGGCCGGCCCTTCCTCTCTGCCCTGCTCTCTCCAGGCCCCCAGAATCTCCTTCAGTTCCCCACCATGACCCCTGTTTTCTGTCTTTAGCATCATCTCTTTCCCCTGATCTTCATTTGCTCTCTTCCCACGTCCAAGTCAAATCCTGACTTGCAGGTCCTTCCATTTGCTGCTGGTTCTCTTCTTTTTAAATCATTTTTGGGTCAGACTCCTTTCCTTCCTGTGTCTTGTCCTGCGGTCCATATGGGCAGCCTCATCCCTGCACAAGTCGCCCTCCCCTCCTGAGCTCTGAGCACGTAACTGCCTTCGTCTCTGCAGGTGCCCAGAGCCCCACCAGCGCCTGGGCACTGCTGGGCAAGTGTAACTTCTTAGGGGAAAGCGTGGTTCCTTCCCTCTGTTACTCAATTCTTTACTGCTCAACGCTCTGCGTACAAGAATAAGGTAACCCTTGGTTTGGCTGTGACAATCTGAAAGCACTTTCCGAAAAAGGACCAGTGAAATGTGATCACGAGGAAGCAGCTATCCATGTGGTCACAGCGAAGCCAAGTGCTGCGCTCCGGGCTCCGGCCCTTGGCCTGCCGCACCTGGGGACACACCAGCCTGACCTCAGGGCTTCAACAAGCCAAGGCCCAAAGCAAGCCTTCCTCTGCGAGGTGCCACCCAGGTCTCTACCTTACTAATGTCTCACTCCTGACCAGGGTAAAGGTGTGCTTTCCTGGATGAAGCCAGAGACACCACTTCAACTTTGATTTCTGTCCGTACCTGGAGAGGTGGATGGAGAGTGGCTTGCGTCCTACCGAGAAAGCTGAAAGGGGAACGAGCTGGCCCAGGCCACTGCGCTGCCGCACCCTGTTGGGGTCTTTGTCACTCTCAGCAAGACCAGGGTCAGAACGGGAGGAGGTAAAAGGGGGAGAGCTGAAAAACCTCCAGTTTCATGCATCCCACAGACAACTAGGTGTGTAAAATTAACCATCTGATTCCTCACTGCAGGCTCTAAGAAAATCTCCAAGCCCTTGAAATGAGTCAGCGGGCCACCCCTAGGCCGAGCACATGAGTGGGGGGCTCCACCCCATCCCCACTCACCTGACGTGGCCTTGCACATCTGGGGCATCCTCGTGACTCTGCTGTGGGCCAGGAAGGTGCTCTGGGAGGAGGTGCTGTACTGGGAGCCACTGTCGGAGGAGGTGGAGCTGGTGTGCGACAGGCGGCTGTGCTCCTTGTGAGAGGCAGTGGAGCGCTGGTACCACTGGCGCAGCTCATCTGACACGGCTGTGCGCCCCGTGCCCTTGTCGTGGGCACCTTCGCGGCCCATCGACGGAGTCCCCAGGATCTGTGAGCGTGATGGCGTCAGGCGGCCCCCGTCGCCCTCTTCGCTGGCCCTCCAGCTCTCCCGGAACAGGCCGCCTGCCGTGTAGGAGTTGGAGGTCTTGAATTGCGCTTTGACGCTGTAGTGACCCTCCTGATCGCTCTCCAGGCTGCGCACGACCACGGGTGTGGCACCCCCCTCGATGTATAGCGGGTACTCCTTGATGCGGTACTGCGAGCTGGGCTGGCTCTGGCTGTGCAGGTAGACACCCGGCGCGCCCCCGCCGCCGCCCCTCGCCGCCAGGTTAGGCATGCTGCCTGAGTTCGCTGCGCCCAGCGCCCCTGCTGCCCGCTGTCTCTGTCGCTGCCGTGCGCGCGCCTTGGATGGCGAGTCCTCCGCCAGCGTGGAGTAGTTGGCGTTCATCTGCGCTGGGTAGTAGTGCTCTGAGCTTGAGTGACTGGTGCAGGATGAGCAGTCGTCCATGGGGTCCGAGCCATTGCTGCTACGAGTCCGTGGGGTGTAGAAGTCGGGGCTTCCCGTGTCGTTTTCCGAGCCCAGGAGCTTGCCCTGGGACTCCAGGCTGGAGCTCCGCTGCCGAAAGTGCAGGGCAAGGCTGTGCAGGCGCGTTGGGCTGAGGTCCACCGACCTGCAGGGAGAGGCTGGTGGGTCTAGGGGGCCAGAGGAGGGGTTGGGGGCTCTGCAGACATCAGATTTAGAAAAAAGCCTCCAGCAAATGCTCAGCTGGGAAACAGACAAAGCTGTTTTGCCCGGGGCATCCAGGGCTTCCCATTGTTGGGGGGTGGGGGGGGGCGGGGCGGGGGCGGGGAGCAGGGTGGAGGACAAGGGAGAGCAAGGCTGATCCCTGGAATCAAGGCTGGTCTCTGCTGTGATTTTTGATTCCCCATGGGAGGTGGGACTGAAGACAGTGCCCACATAAAGGTTTCCTCTGGAAAAAGTGTGCCCATAGCCAGGGCTTCTTTTTTTTTTTTTTAAAGGTGGAAAGGGATTCTATAGATACAAAGAGAACCAAGAAAGCGACTATTCTCGTACGATGAAATACCTAGTACACAGATGAAATGCCCACTTTTGTAGGTCAAAAAACGGGACATTTCGTATGGTTCAGCCAAATACTATTTAGAAATGCACATAAACAGATTTCCATTTCCATGAAGACTCCACAAGGGAAGGCTGGTGGAACACGGCACATGACTGATGCAAAAACTTACCACGCTGCCACTTTGTTTATAATCCGTTCTGTTTATCTGAGCCCACGCTATAAATATCCATCAACATTGCAGACAATGCTAGGGCCACATGTGAAATTCAGGGTGGCCCCGCTGGCCAAGTACACAAACACCTGAGTTCTGGTTCTGACTGTCACCCAGGGGAATACCGACCCTGTGGCCCTCTGGTCCACCCCGCCATTATCAGCCTGTCCCAGTCAGACTGGCCTCCTGGAAACACGCCAAGTTCAGGCCCGCATCCAGGGCTATCTACGACCTTGCTGCTCCCCTGGATATCCTTGGAGCTTGCTCCCCATCTCTTCAGTCACTGCTCAAGAGTCACCTTCTGCTTCTCCAATGCTTCTATTTAAAAAATCACCTCTCCTTTCACTCTCTAGCCCCTTGCCCTGTTTGTTGTTCATTTTTCCTCCTCATGCTTATCACCCCTCGTCACATATTTATTAAGACTCCCAATTAATATGTATGTCTGGTGGGAAGAGGGGCATGGTCTGTTTCTGCACTGCTCTGTCCCCTAGAATAGTTATCAATGTGTGCGGCACGAATGAAGGGAGGCGTGAATGAATGAATGAATGAATGAATGAGGAAATCTTGCCTGGAGCGCTCCATCTTATAGACAGCTCACTATTTAGGGAAGATCACACCATCTGTCCTTTGAGGTGTGATCCCTATGGGCTCAGTTTTTGATAAAATGGAATGGTGGCTTTGGTTTTGCCTCTTTTTAGAAAACGAAGATGTGATTCACTGGAGCCTCACTTTTGCCTGTTCCTTTGGTCTTTTATGAACTTATACCTTGAGACATCAAAAAGTCCAGGATATATCAGGCCCCAGTAGAAAGCTACACAGGGACCATCCAGCAAAAATCACCCCATCAGTGCAAGGTCTGGTTCCGGCGCACTTCCCTGCTAATCCGCCCGGCATCGCCTGCCTTCCCTTCGCTCAGGTCTCTGCCATGCTCACGGTCAGACTCCAGGTGCCCACAAGCATGCTGCCAGCCTTCAGTTTTAAATTCTGCTGCTTTTTAGGAAGAAACTACCTCACTAGTTTAGGCGTGACTCTAGTTCACCCATTACTTGGGCCAGTTGGGGCCAGAGATGCCAGGGAGGGCGAGGGCTGGGTGGACTCACCTCGTGGAATGAACATAGTGGGGGCTCCGGACACGCAGGTCTGGTGTGGACGGCATGCTGGACTGCGAGTTCCAGTGAGGGAGGCTGCGGATGGGGCTGTTCTGGAGGGAGCTGCTTCCCCCTCCTGCTTCGGCACAGCTCCCTGTGCTGGGGAAACGCTTGTGGCTGCTGCGAACCAGAGAAGGCCATGTTGGTCACCACCAGTCCGCGCCGCACCTGTTCCCAGGGAGCTGACTAGCCTCTGGGCATCAGTCTGGGTGCTGGATAAGCTGCTCAGGCCTCCTTCGTTCCCCCGCTCAGATCTCTACTCTGCTTCTCAGCCTCTCCCCCAGAAGTGGGAAGGGGTCCTTGTCCCTGACCCCTGGGCAATGTGAGACGGAGACCCTTGTCAGCCTTTGCTGGAACAGGAGCACAACTATTCTGTGAAGCCACTGTCCTGAATCGTAATTTCTGCTTCCAAGAGACAAATGTTTACCTGTCTGAGCGCCCACTAGGAGTAGGAATTTAAATGATGTAATTAACAGAAATGAGAAAACCAGAGAAGCTAACCAAAAATGGCTTCTAAACCCCCCCCTCCTCTCCAGGCTCAGCCGAGTAATGAGCTGATAATGCACGGCTAAGATTACAGCTGTTTGGCTCCAGAACTCTGGTGGCTGATGGCTTAAGGTTCCGAACCACTTGGGGATCCCTGCGAGTAGGCTCTCACTTGCCATTTCAGAATAGTGCTGCCCAGGACTTCCTAATTAATTGCGGTGGAATTTAGCAATATATTAAAGTCATCTGCCAACACATTGACTGTGAGCCCCAAACCCCAATTTCCCTTTGAATGACAAACCCGCACCTGGACATGGTCAGCAGTCCCGTGGAAGGGCAAGGCCAGGAGGGAGGCGCTCCGCTAGCTCCGTCTGGGTTCGGCAGCGTACAGAGCCATCTGGGGCAGCCCTTGATGCCTCAGTACCTCCTCTGGCCTTCCCCAGCGCACTCACCTGGAATGGCTGTGCGAGGAACGTTTCTTGACCTTCTCATAAGGCTCATCTAACGAGGACTCGCTCCACATTTTGGGCTTGATAGGTGACTTGTCATAGTCGTTGCGGTGATAGTGCATCTGCCTGAGTCCCTCCAGGGACTGGGGAGGAGGGGGCCTATTATGCGACGGTGGCCGAGGAGGGAGTCCCTTGTGAGGAGACTGTAAGGGGGACAGTGTGCTGATGACCTGAGAGTCTTCTGCACAAAGATGGAGAGAGAGGAACTGAGCAAGGGTCATCCTTCAGACCGACCCTGGGCAGGCCCCCACCCACCCCTGCCCCAACACCAACACCTGGGAGCCAGGCCGGCATCCACTTGGGGAGGCGCCAAGGACGCTTTCCCAGTTTTCAGGACAAGTCAATCTGGAACAAATCTAACCTGAACTCTGAGCAGCGTTAAATGGAAACAGGAGGTTCAAACCTGATGAGCTACAAATATGATGGAGTAAGCCCAAAGTTCACTAAATGCCACATGATTGCTTCATATCAAACAGGTAAATGTCGTTATTGTAAGTATTCTTTTAATTGACAGGAGTGTCTAATTTGCCTTGGGGGGTTTCAGTCCCAGGAGGGTCTTCTCTAGTCTGTTAAGTGCTACATCCTCAGTGTGTACAATGATTACTGACACATAGTAGGTGTTCAATGACTATTTGTTAGAAAAAAGTGAATAAAGGTGTATCTGTTAAGTGTAATTATCTACTGGTGGCTCTAGGTACCTGCTCTGCTTTTTTCAGGGCTATCTCTGTACATTGTTTTTAATATGTTCTTCATAATAGTTTCATTTTAGAACTGCATTAAGTTCTTTGGGAGGAAGAAGGGCTCCAACCAGTACAGATGGACAGACGAGTACGCCCTGCCTTCTGTGGGGCAGCGCGCTACCACATTGGTGTGCTAGGTGACTTTTGGAGACAGCGAATTCAGCCAGTCAAGGGAGGAGCTGTGGTCTGGAGGGGATTTCAGCGGTGGCCTGGCAGAGGAGGAGGGCAGAGGAGGCCAGGAGCACATCGGCTGGCAGAGCAGCTGGTCAGGAGGAGCAGAGGGAGAGAGGGAGGAGCTCTGATCAAGTGCAAGTGCAAAAGACCTACTGTGAGCGCTGAGATAAGCACGGTGCCCCCACTGACAGGGGGCCTTCAATGCCAAGCTCAGGCATCAGGATCAGGTCTGAAAGCCACAGAAGCATGAGGCATGGATGTGTCAGGGTGAAAATTCTGTTTAGTCATCTGGCAGGACTCACACATGAGCAGGGCCTGCAGAAGCGCTAGGGAGGAGTTAAGGAAGAGATCCAGCGTTGAGAGCCCAGAGCAGGGCAGCACTGCGCAGAGAGAGGCAGGAAAAATTCAGTGTTCCTTTTGAAGGCAGAGGTGGGCGTGTGAAGGGAACGCTACCCAGAAACTAACCTCAAACCCCAATAGCCATTCATGGGTTTAGGGTCCTAAATCCATTTCCTACTAGTGTTCTTTTCACAGCCTATTTCCCAGTCCCCTGCGACTTGGGCACGTGCTATGCCTCCACTGCTTCTGCACCTCTCAACTCAGTAAAGAAAAGCACCCCTGTGGGGAGCGAGCCTGCAAGGGGCGTGGGGAGTCCCAGTGAGGCAGTAATGCCCCAGGTAGCCTGGAGGCATGGAATGTGGGGAAGAAACTAATCACAAAAGATTCATCAGAATTAGTCAATGACAGTTATATAACTCCCCCACTCCTGTTACAAAGTGATCTCATGAAATTGTTCTCATTCCCTCCCCAGAGAGACTTGAATCCACAGAGGCCAAAGCTAGGACTGGACCTCTGATACTCAAAACACAGCTCCCTGCTCTGCTGAAGTCCAATTTCCTCCACACCCATTCTTACTGTAATGAAGCTGACAGTAAAAATATTGCAATCTGATTGCTAATAGCAGAGCCCAGACAACCGGGTAAATAACCCACCAGCCTTTCCCCACATCAATAGCAATTTTTATTATTATTGCAATTATCCTCATTACTCTCACTTGGTCAGACCTTTTATGTTTTCTGTCTGAATAGGCACTTATCAGTGCCTACCTGAGGCTTCTCTATGGGGCAAAAAAATTAACTGCCACTTAACATATTTCCATTTCATTAACGTTCTGGCCTCTCAAGTTTGGGGTTAAACCCACAGGAACATGCTCGGAGATGGTTCTGTGTTTGCAATTCATTCCTCCCCCACATGTGGTGGTGGGTTGGTGGGCTGGGGGTCCAGGCAAGGGATCGCTTCTGTTTTTCCTGCTACCTCCAGGCTCTCCTAGCAGGTTTCAATTTTTGATTTGCAATCCAAACCAACGTCTGCTTCTTTCCTCCAGAAACTGAATATTCAAAAGGAAACTACATACGGTGCTCAGATTTCTCTGACTAGTTAAATGTATGGTTTTGGCAATTAATGAGATAAAGTACCACTCACTGAATATCACCTTATATCTGACCTCTCAGCCACAGGAAATGCTAAAATTCCAATAGACCTGGTTTACACAGCGCCCACCCACTCCCACCCAACTTGGTGACAATCAGGAAGTGACAGAACCGCAGGGAACGCAGCCGCCACCTTGGCCCGGCTCTTGCCTTTACACCAGCCTGTCCCAGGCTACACACAGCTCAATCCCTGTTTAATCTGTGCCCCTCGTTCTCAAGCAGGAAAGGGACAACCTACCATCTTCTAGAACAAGGGCATCTGAGAGAGAACTGTCTTCACTGGCAATATTTCCATCTGAGAAGACAAAAAGCAAAAGTCTGAGAGTTTATCACATCCCTTAGACTAAAAATCATGTGTTCAGCACCATCCCATATCTTTCTCTTTCTAATCAGAAAGAACCCAAGACATACAATCAAAATGTTGTCGGGCATTCCTTTTGTAGTCCCTGTGGTGGGTCGTTAGCTCATCCTGCCCCCTAACCACAGGGACACTGCAATGTGCTCTTGCTCCTGCCCTTCTCTGAGCTCTCTGTGCTCCTCTTTGATAGGGCACTGCACTGCTGAGTAGCTTAATATGCATCATAAAGGCTGCCCAGCCTGGTTAGGCCACATTGTCCCAGCCCAATCCCAGGGCATGTTCTGACTAAACCAAAGGAAGTGAACTGCTATGTACTGATTCTACAGATACGAAACCAGGGTAAGGAACTTGGCTTTGCTCACAGGGCAATAAATGGCTTCCAAATAAACTTAAGTCATTAGCAGAGAAAACAAGCTGCTAAATACAGCTTCTCTCTCTCCAAAGCTTACTTTCATAGACACCATTCAATTAACTGTAAACATGTCAAACAGGAAGAGAGTAAGATAATCCTCCCCTTTTAACAGTTGGGGAAACTGAGGCACATCGAGGGAGCTGGTTGGTTTGGGATTGCTCTGCTCTCCTTGCAAGATTGGCAAAATGTCCCAGAGGTCTTCAGATAGCAACTGTAATGTTTTATCTCTTGAAATAAAAACCACACTAAGGAACTAAAAGGAATCTTAATTACTCCTCTAATTCAAATGGGCTCATGTGATGAAAACATCATTTGAAAGAGGGAGCAAAACAGAGAAGATACATTCTTGAGGGGTTAAAAAAATAATGGCTGCAGGCCTGGATGGGTCCAGTCATGAGTTAGTACAGATAATGATGAGGAAACAGACTCTGTCAGCAGCCCTAACAGAATGGCGTTCACGGTAGGATGGCCGGAAGCCCAGGCTCTCCGTGGCCGACCGTTGAGGTGCCCATCCCTGCAGCACCCCTCCCTACAGCCAGGACCCCCGAGTGCCCTCAACGGGGCAGGGGAAGGGCTGCGGACTGCAGCTCTGCAGGGACGTGGGTGGAGCAAAGTGCTGGGCACGGACCACAGGGTAAGATGGGGAATGATGGTTACTCCTCATTGACTACAGCAAAAGGATTTTTTAATGGTCTCCCTTCTTTCAGAAACCAGAAATTCACTTTGTATTGCTTGATGGACCTAGGAGACACAGAGCCTTGTCTTCAGCACCTTGGAATCTAGTACATTGTTGTTTCCCCAGCATGTCCACATTTTTAGGTTGCAGAATGTGTGTGTGTGTGTGTGTGTGTGTGTGTGTGTGTGTGTGTTCATGCAGAATGTATATGTACATTTAAATTGTGGTAAAATATATATAAAATTTACGATTTTAACCATTTCTTCCATACAGTTCAGTGGCATTAAGAACATTTGCACTGTTGTGCAGCCATGACCACCATCCATCTCCAGAAGTTTTTCATCTTCCCCAACAGACACTCTGACCCCGTAAAGCACAAAGTCCCCTGCCCTGACCTAGGCCCATTCTACTTTCTGTCTTCCTGGAGCAAAAGTGTTTGAAACATGCAAAAAAGGGTAAAAGAATACTTTATATATATCTGTATGAATTTTCTAAATATATATATATTTCAAAGAATTTTCTTTAGAAAAAAAGGATTTTAACACTTGATGGTTACTGGGAGATTTGATTGGAGGACTTGATGGTTATTGGCAGATTTGGGGGTCTTTCCTTCTACCGTTTGCCGAATATAATCACCCAAGCCCTGCTGACCCTGGCTCAGGGCTCTAGACTATCAGAGTGGGCAGCCCAGCCCTCCCGGCTTCAGCTGTGGAGGAGCCCCTGACACAGGGCCGGACAGAGGGCTGGCCGCGGGTGCTGGCCTGCAGCGCAGCCAGGCTCTGCACATGTCCTCCTAGGCTGGTGAAGGCGGATCGGGTCCCTGAAAACGTCAGAGCCTGGGCTGCTCAGACTCGCTGACCGGGCCCAGTTACCCAGGTTTAGCTCACGGGAAGGCTGGGAGGAGCGTTTAGCTCTGGCTGCAGGCTCTCCCAGGGAGGCAATAAATAGTGACAACGGTGCTCTGACTGGCATAACTCTTTCATCTATGAACTCGAGTGCACTTTACTGCTCTCATCTGGCCTCAGGGTTTACTGGCTTCATTTTATGGCTAGAAAAATGAAGGCCCAGGGTCATTAAGTAGCTTGCTGAGGTCACCCTGGGAGCTGGGCTCTGGCCCACTCACAGCACTGGTGCCTGTCCCCAGGGGCAGCGGGGGCAGCACTGACCGTCGATGATGAGCGAGGCCCTCTGGGTGGGTTTCTTCCCAGACTTGATGCGGTTCTCGTTGATTGCATTCTCAATTTCCTGCAGCTTCTTCAGTGCATTCAGATAGGAGGTTTTCCTTTGTTTCTTCAGTTTTTTGCTGACGTTGGGGTCACTGGCAAGGCGGCGGGCAGCCTCCGTAATCTGGGATTGAATGGCAAACTCTCGTTCCAGGCGTTCCAGCTCAGCTTCCTGTGGGAGGGAGAGCCAGGGCTTACACTTAGGGCATGCAGGGCTGGGGGACCCCTGTCCCAAGGCGAGCCAGTCTCCCTTACTCTTGGGGGACATGGGTACTAGGAACCCAGCAGGCCTGGTGCCTAACCCCTACCCTGCCTGAACCCGCGGTGGCCCTGTTCCTTTTGTCTCTGGCAGCCAGTGCCCTGGGCACAGGCACTTTTGAGGCTCTCGAGGACCAGGAAGGTCTGCACACAGGCACCAGCACTGAGAAGCAGAGAGTCGCCTGTTCTGAGGGTCTTGGAATCGCTGACTTCATTTCCATGGTCTCCAGCAAGGTTCACAAAGAGCAGGCCTTCATGGGAATTCAGACCCATACGGCTGGTATTTCCTCTCCATTCTAGGCAAAGGATGCCGCACTATTTTCAGAGCAGCTTTCTGCCCTGCTCTCCTGTGGGTCTGCTGCCAGGGAGCTCTGATGGGCCCCACGCCACCACCCTCCTTTCTCTAGTACTTTGAGACCTGCATGTTGGGTTACGCCACTCACCCATATCTCCTTGGCAGCCCTTTCTGCGAGCTCCAGTGTCCCTCTCATGCTGGCTACTCATAACGGCTCTGCCCGGGCTGGGAGGTGCGGACGGCAGGTGGTGGCGTGACCTGCCACCTAGGACTTAGGACACTCTCCTTCCTCTCCTGTGTACCTCCCTTCTACCTCTACTTCTTACTCTGGCCAGAAGGAGGAGTTCAATGGATTTTCCCTCAGAGCTTTGATCCCAAGAGAAATGAGACTATGTTAGAAAATGACCTGTGGACCCAGAGGACAACACTTGGGACAGTGGGTTTGTTGCTGGCCTCTCTGCGACTCATCAGTGGCTTCTTCAAATCTGACCCACAAGCCTGGGAGACCACACCTGGGAGACCACACCTGTCCTAGGTGACCCACAGGCATGCCAAAGTCCAACAGGAACTCATCTAGCAACCTAGGAGCACAACGCCAGGTTTGCTAGAATCAACCGATCTTCCTAGTCACTGGCAGAATAAAACATTCTGCCCTCTGGGCGCCACACACCAGGCTGAGGCCTCCATCCAGCACAAAACTGTTAGTTTGATTTCATTTTGAGCGATTCAAGCCTGAAGGGAGCACAGACCAGCAGTGAGAAATAGAGGTGAAGGTTAAACAGAACTACCTAGGCAAGAAGGAACGCTCAGATCCTTCCCAAACCAGCTGCATTCGTTCCCCGGGAGGGAGAGGAGCATCAGAAAACTCCTGTTTGGGACCCGGAACAAGGCAGCAGGGACAGGCCGAGCCTGGCAGCTGTGCTCGCCCTGGTTCAAACCCCTGCCCCAAAGTTTTGTGGATGCCGAGGACAAAGTCTCGCTACTTCAACTGAGTCAAGCAAATGCTGGCAGCCCTGTCTGCACAGACGGCTGCCTGCTGTGTGAACGGGTCGCCAAGTGTGTTTCCAGGAGAAACAGGGAGCTCTTCCCTCCCAGAGCAACTGCAGCAGGCCAGCTAATTCTGCCGTCCTTCCTTGGAGCGATTTCTGAACGGCACATGCAGGGAAAGGTGAGGAAGACGGGGATGCACATGGAATGCACGGGGAACTAAAGGCATCTTTGCAGACAAGTGTGAAGGAGCAGCTGGTGAGAAGGTGCGGTGGGAGGGAACTGTGGGGAGGACAATGGGGTCGGGGTGGAAGAACACTCACTAGGGTGGGGTCTCCTCAGGAAAGTTGAGTGAGTGCCCGGTATCTGCCCGGCACAGGGGAGAGGGAGTTCCTCAGGCAATTCTGGTGACAGCAGATTTGAGAAATACTTGACCAGATGGTCTTCTAAACCCCACCCTCCCTCACCCCGGTTGTGACCCCGATATAATCGGGCCCCTTCCCACAGCACTGCACCTGTCCTGTAACACCCCCTTTGCACTTTGAGCCACTCACATCGTGTGAAGACCCAAGTTAAATTTCCTCCAGGTACTAGCTCATTTAATCCTAGTGATGGCCCAAAGAAATAAGGGCTCTGAACTTCACTTGATGGAACAGGGAGCTGCCTGGTTGAGCTTTAGACTTGGGGGAAGCATTCTGGTGCGGCCACCAGCCCCCCAGGACCTCCTAGTGCAGATCTCAGGACACTGGTCCACCCCTCCCATTGGCTCCAGGGGACCGGCGTTCCTGGGAATTCACCTTCGCACTAACCCACAGCTGGCTGACTCTCAGGAACAAAGGGCTGGCATGCCATTAAACAGACATGACATGGGTGTTATTAAAATGTTCTCCCTAGATTAACTTAACAGCTTGCTGCAGGCCTATTGTGTCAGACAAATAACTGGCACTGAAATCAATGCTCAAGCAAGGTGATCCTACCTAGGGAGACATATACTGACCGATCTGCTAAGGTAACAAGAGGCAAAAGGAAAGCTACTGAGGAGGAAAGGGGAAAGGGTGTTTGGCACTGTGTAGACTGCAGAAACTTGGAGAAAACCTGGAAGCCCTAGCAAATAGGAAAAGGAGGACAATGTGATAGAATCTAACACCAGAAAGAAGGACCCACCTCTCCCTTGGGTAGGATTTTCTGTTCATCCAGCTTGAAGGCTGTCCCGATTCTTCTTCGAACAATGGGTGGCTCCTCCCCTGGATCTAGGGGATATTCATCAGGCAGTTTGCCTGTCAGCTCCTGCAGATGTGCAATATCAAGAGGAGGTGACGGGGATCAGAGGGGGCATGTGCTTGGCCTAAGACAAACATGCATATACTTCAATGCATAGATTCAAAATAGTACCCCTTAAGCAAATTCCTAAAAAGAGTTTCTGAAATGTGATTTTTGTTTCTCTAAAAATGGATTTGAGCAGTCCTCTTTTTTACAGAACAGATGCATTTTGAAAAGTTTTTCCTGCAGTAAGTGTCTGCAGGTAAACAAAATCGCTTTGGCTTTCCTTGTAAAACTTGCATTGCATCCATTTGTTAGTTTGCCAAGTGTCTCCTACAGGCCCACTGCGTGCCTGGCAGGGCCGCACAGCTGGTAAGGAGCAGAGCCAACATGGAATCTCTGGTCTTTCTAGCTCCTGTGCTCTTTCTACCGCATCAAACACTCCCTCACAAATGTCTCAGGTCAAAATGCTTCTCAAATTAGCTTTCTTAGGAAAAGTGGTATCTATATGGCAAATCCCAGAAAAAATGCCTATGACAAATTTGAAACCGAACGTGATAATCATTTCACTCAAGCCAGATGCTCAGGAAACAGGCTGAGCTTAAAGGACATTAAATGTATACAAGTAAGAGTTTCAGCACAAACTGAAAATCAACACATAATATTGGCAAATCTATTAAAACAAACCTGTGTGTATACATTCTGGGCTCTGAAAATCTAACTGTTGTTAGTACAGTGACAGTGAACTTTGTTGACACGCCACAATAACAATGATCCTACAAACACATGGAATGAGTAGTGATTAATACTGGGCTCCACACTAGGGGCTATATCTGGGCTGAATAAAGATCAAATCTGAGTCAGCAGTTAATCCATGTGGTGAATACAAGGCATCAGCTGCAAGGAGTCACTTCCAGGGACCAGAAAAACCTGGGAGAGCCACTGTGTGTCACCAAGCGCAGAGGTGGCAGGTCCAAGCAAAGCCCAGCCCTGCCTTCTAGTCTCAAATCAATACCTGTGCTGCACAGACTCAAGAGGAGCTCACAGTTCATCATCCACACGGAACACCGTTGCGTCGTGTGGCCCAGTGCGAGCACAAGTCAAACGGGAAGCCCGAACCATCAGAGGCCAGGGGCTGACCCACCTTCTAAGAGGGGGAGTGAGCTGGCCTCTGCTCTTTACCACGCTGTGTGTGTGCTCGCACTGGGTGTACGGGTGTGCATGGGGTATGCGTGCAGGCACGCACATGCACACACTGGGGTCATGGCTGAGTGTGTGAGTACATCTGGCGTGCGCGAGAACGCCCACGCCTCGCTCTCCTGGGCCCTTTCCCTCTGTGTTCGGCCGCCTGGGAGGGAGCCCTTGGATTTTCTGTCCCTCACTGCAAGCACTTTGGAGAACAATGGTCAACTGTCTGAATATGGAATGCTCTGCCATCTTCCTCCATTTCTTTCTTTTTATAATGTGATTCAAATGTCGCTGAAGTCGTTATATGTTTATTCTGCGACATTTTCATCTTTTTCTCTACAAGTCAGTCAATAAATAACATACACACTGAGGATTTTATACTGTTAGAATTTTCTTTTTTTACCCTGAAACTTCTAAAGAGTAGGAGAAAGTTAACATGGCTATTGATTTATAAGTCTAAAATATCTGTGGTTTTAAAACCAAATATATTTTTTTAAAAATGAGGCTACTGATTTTCCACCATCTGCTTGAAGGTGTTTGCGTTAGGCCTTGATTCTCCACATTGAATCTGATTTCATATGTAAAAAGAGCCTCAGGGGGGAGGAGAAATTTCACACTGTTGTGGGCGCTTGGCCTGGTTCCTTTTATATTCTTATATAGATATTTCTGCCAAATGCTCCCACTCCACCTCATTCTGGCTGCCCTGCGAGCTTCGCCAGGGACAAACAGTGCTGCTCGATATTCTGAGCTGAGGGGTAAGAACCGAGTTAGCCAGAAGGTTCACCTGTCCCTGACTACAGGTTGGCCAGGAGACCGCAGTGGGAGACACCACAGAAACCATCTAGCTGCTTGTGGCCAATGCAGTTATTTTTCCCGCTCAAATTCTGTTTTCTGCTGTCAACATTATAAGAAACGGGAGTTTTGTTTCCCTTATTTTGTTTTCTATTTTAAAAGAGACAGGGAGAGCTTCCTTAATGCATGCTAACCTTGCCCTGACATGTTTCTCCGATTTTCTGATGCTGACTCCCTGCTCGGTTTAGGGACATTGCCTCTCTTAAAAATAAAACCAGCCTTTACAAATTATTAAATGCAGACACCCAAAGCCATATTTTTTTAATCCTTCCAGTATATTTGTTATACAAATGCCTGTGGCTGCTGCTAACCAGAGGCAGCCATGCTGGTCAGCACCAGAGGGAGCCACACCTGTTCCCAGGGCCCTGACGGGTGCTCCCAGGTCTAGGAAAAGCTGCTCAGGGCGCCCGCCCTCGCTCCCTCAGGGCACTTGCTTCCTCAAGATTTGTAATGGGTTTGCGTTAACTTGGGTCTGCTTTGAGCTGGCTCTGGTTTAAATCAGTCCAGAGCATAATTAAGCCAAGTGGAAATGTAATGTGATCTCACTCTGAGGCTCCTTGTTCATTAGGCCCGGGGTGAGGCACTATTACTGGGGGGAGGGGAGTACAGTTTGGGAAACTCTTTAAACTTCTGCTTCTCAGCTGTTCTCCAGTACAGCTCCGTGGAACATGATATGAACTGCAATGTCTCTCTGGAGGGTTCCCACTCTACTCTGTGCAGGTGTAAGCACAGGCACACGCACGGCCACGCACAGACACATGCACAGTAATGTGTGCTGCATTAGCAATTCAATTCTTCAAACGTGCTAACAGAACTGCAGAATAAATGGGAGAAAGTGGAAACGGACATTGAAATAAATAGCGCAGTGGCCTGTCACAGCCTCTGAGTCCCAACAAAACGTGAGAAGAGCGCAGACTTGAGCTTGAGGAAGTGTTACTTTGCATACAGCTTAAAAATATCTCTTAGATTTCATTTTTTAAAAAAGAGTGTAATCATCAGATGATGAGTTTTAAAGGGTGTTTTTAAACCCCCATATATATACATATACATATATATACGTATATGTATATATATACACATATATATATATTTATATATATGAAAACCAAGTGAAATCCTGGTTTTCTTGTTGATTCCCAGTGATGCTTCTCAGCATGACTTCCAAAAACAGATCTGAAACAGCCTCAAGAGAAACAAAAGCCACCACAATGGTCCACCCAGGCACACAGCCTTGGAAGATGGTGGCAAACCACTCTGCTCAAGGAGGTAGCATCATATGAAGAAATGCTTTATAAACTAAGGGGCAGCACGCAGACATTGTTATTTACAGTGGCCAACGTTACTGGACTGACTTCTTGTCGTCTGGCCTCTCATGAGGTCCCACTGGGGACTTGGCCAGGACCTGCTTTCACTGGTGTCCTAGTGTCCCATTAATGTCAACGACTTCTGTTTCTGATGGGGCACATCTGTGTGTCAGGAAAGGTCTTGCATTCCTCTTATCATCTCTTTAGGATCCATCCCCTTTTATAACTATGTGAAGACAGCCCAGATTTCCCCAGCACAGAACAGTAACTGCTTACAGCTTCTCGGAGGCAGAGTTTCTTGAGCTCCTCCAGCCGCTGGCGTAGCGTTTCCTCCAGAGCTTCCTGCCGGGACTTCAAGGCCGCCAGCATGTCTTTCTTGGCAGACTGGGAGCTATCTGATTCCTGAGAACCTGTCAATAAACAGTGAGGTTACTAGGCCAGCTCATGGGGGGAGGGGGAGGGACACACATCTGGACCACTACGGAATTTAACTGGAGCCCACACTGTGGATCTGGGATTTATCCCAGGAATCAAGGAAGTGTGAAATAAAACAGGTGTTTCAGGGTTCCAAGTATTAGGAGAGAATTCTCAGCACTTAGTGGAATTTATAGCTGGTCAGAAGCACTGGCAGGAAAATTTAAATGCCTGAAAAAGCAGTTTCTCTTTCTTGGTTATCTTAAGATAGGCCACATACCTGTTTTGATTTCAACAGACTTTTAATTTTAATAGACTTTGTACAATGAAGGGGAAAATGAAGTTCAAGCCAGTAATTTTAATATGTAATTTTAATTTTCTCTTTTTCTACTTCAAAATGCTTTTTTGTTTTTTTCACTTAATACAAAGAAAATGCGTGTTTAACATGAACATTCTGAAAATGCAGGTATGAATCAAAATAGTCCAGAAGCTAGGCAGCCAGAGGTAGCCACAGTCATACATTTTCTTTTAACCTTTTTACCAAAGCTATACATTTAAAAAATAAAGTTAGATTTTTATTGTATTTCTTAACACTGTATCATGAGCAAATTCCCTCTTAACAAAAGTTACACATAGTTTTACAATGTGGCGGAACAATGTGGTAGAGGATTCAAATCACAGACAGTTAGATACAAAACCTTTGTAAAGGCACACTGTGAACCACACTAAAGGGAAACAAGTCGAAATGCCAACTGCAGAGATTTAGGTCAGAAGAAAGCATAATTATCTTGGCTGTGGTGTCTGGATTCTGAAATAGGTTTCCTGCAGTAAAGCCACTACCCCTTTTCTACCTCAGTAAGTTAGGCAAGGTGCGCTGACTCCCTGGGAGAGGGACGGCTGCTTAGTGCTTCGCTTCTCAGGCCCAGGGTAGCAAGAGTGTTAGAAGGACAGGTGACGCTGGGTGTGCATTCAAGGGCCTCCCGTGAATCAAACATCATCAAATACCTAAGGAGAACTAAAACGAAGGATATGCAAGGTATCTACAACGAAAATTGTAATACTTTGTGGAAAAGAACTAAAGACCTAAAATGACAGAGATATAGCACGGTCGTGGATTAGAAGCTTGGCATGATGAAGATGCCAGTACTCCGGGAATTAACAGAATCATTGCAGTACTAATACACATCGGAGCAGGATTTTTGAGGGGAGGGGATAGCAATTGTATTTCCATATAAAACATTTTTAAACAATTCAGTGAATGCATGACAGATATGAGAATAATCCAACTGGAATTCCCTGTCATTTGGTCAATTTCTTCCAATGGTATAGAAGGCAGCTCAGAGGACTTTGGGCCAAGAGCGGGTAGGTAAATGCTGTGTTCGCCTCCTCCCACAAACATATCAAAACTAGAACTAAATGTCAGAACAACCACCATTAAGAACCCCCTGAAGACTAGCTGAACGGAATTCTTGTAACTGAAAGTATACAAAAGAAACCACAAAGAGACTGGTTAAAGTCACGGAGACACGGAACAGGCAGGTCCCACCCATGTGTGGTGATTAAGAACCGAGATGGACATCTGTGATGCAGACATCCCTGCTGTGAGGGGTCGCAGCCCCAGGCCCCCATGCTGGGAAGAGGAGTCCCCACAACATGCAGCTGGGAAAACCAGCGAGGATTGCATCCAGGTGACGCGGAGGGCAGCTGTGGACTCGGGTGTCCTCCTACAGGGCCCGAGCACAGGTTCCCTTGCTCACAAACTCACTCAACTCTGGGCTCTGGTGCAGAGGCAGCGGCTTGAAAAGCACCCTGACATACAGGGAGGAATTAAATTGACTAGCATCAGGGAGAGGGCTGGCAGGGCAGGGGGCGGGGCTGAGCTCTTTGGGGACAGAAGTGCTGGCAGGCACCACTGCCCCCTTGTTGAGAACTCTCCCAACCCGGCCAATCGCTGTGGGTGGGGGGCGCCATATCTGAGGTCTCCAGGAACCTGGCTAACACTGTTTGCCCCACCCTGGTGATTCCCCGAGACCCCACCCAATTCACACACCCGCCCCTGGCCACTTTCAGCAGTTTTCCACAGGCACAGCCTACGCTGGGTCGCACTGCAGACTTTCCTAAACTCTCTTAAAGGTCCACAACCAAACACACAGTGGCTGGCCCCAGCATGCCCTGTACCTCTTTCTAAGCAGCCCCAAGTCTGCCATAAGCTACGGCCAGGGTTGGACTGGAATGTAGCTTTTACTAAGTGGCCATAAACCTGGCACAAGTGGTAGCTGGCCTCAGCTCACACTGTGTGCTTCCCAAAGGGTCCCCATCCAGACAACAGTGTGAGCAGCGTGAGCTGGCGTAGGTTCATAGCATCACCTCTCCCAAGTGCCTCCAAACCCACCACAAGAAGGAACCAACCAGAAATAACCTTGTAGCTCCCAGCAGGTGGCCCTAAACCAGGCACAAATAGTGGCCAGCTTTGGCCTGCCCCAGAACCCCTCCAAAGAGACTCCAGAGCCAATATATCTGGTGGCCACTGCAGAGCACCACTCAACCAGCTCCACAAACAACACACCTGAAGGACAGATTCTGCTGGCACTTGAGTCCAGCTAAAGCAACTCCCACTCTGTGGAGTTGGCTCCTGAACAACAGCTTGTCCACTGAAGTCACAGGCAGCCCCCTCATACAGTCAACCTGAGGGTCAATACCACCAACTGATGCAAGTAGGAATCAAAGTTCAACTACAACGGAGGGCTCACACACCCACACAAAGGGCGCTCCTGGAGCACCTGGCTCTGGTAAACAGGGAAGACTGCACTGCTGGGCCTCACAGGAAACAGGCTACATACAGCCACTCTGCCAGCCTGGGGAGAGGTAGCAGATCTACCTAACACACTGAAGCAAACTCAGGCAGTCAAGCTAAATGAGGAGACGAAGAAATGTGTCCCAACGAAAGAATGGGAAACACTCTAAAAAACAAAACAAAACAAAACAAAAAACTAAACAAAATGGAGATAAACAATCTACCAGATACAGAGTTCACAACACTGGTTATAAGAATGCTCAATGAACTTAAAGGGAGAATAGATGAGTTTAGTGAAAACATCGACAAAGAGATACGGAAACATAAAAAAGAACTAGTCTAAGTAAAGAATACAATAATTGAAATCAAGAATACATTAGAATCAACACCAGATTAGATGAAGAATCATATGAGAGCAGCAATTTGGAAGACAAAGTAGCATAAAACACCTAATCAGAACAGCAAAAATAAAAAAAAATATGCAAAAAGTTGAGGACAGGAAATTCTGGGACATCCTCAAACATACCAACATTTTCATCATAGGGATACCAGAAGGAGAAGAGAGAGAATGAAGGATGGAAAACCTGTTTGAAGAAATAAGGACTTAAAATTTCCCTAACATGCTAAAGGATATAGTGCAAATCCAAGAAGCACAGAGACCCCAAACAAGATGAACCCAAAAAGGCCTACAACAACATTCATTATAATTAAAATGCTGAAGGTTTCAGACAAAGAGAGAATCTTAACAGTAGAAAAAGAAAAAGCAGTATAGTTAATACAAGGGAGCTTTCATAAGACTGTCAGCTGATTTCTCAATAGAAGCTTTGCAGGCCAGAAAGGACTGGCACAAAATAATCAAAGTGATGAAAATTAAGACTTACAACCAAGATTACTCTACCTAACAAGGTTATCACAGAGAGTCAAAGGAGAGATAATGAATTTCCCAGACAAGAAAGAGCTAAAGGAGTTCATCACCACTAAACAAGTATTACATGAAATATTAAAGGTATTTCTTTAAGTAGAAAAGTCAAAAATATGAATAGGAATATACATTAAAAACTTCTCATTGACAAAGGCAAACAGTAAATCCAGTGAACCAGTCAATTATAAAGCTGGTACAAAGGTTAGAAGGGAGCAGTAGGAAAATCATGTGTAATTACAATAATAAATTAAGGGATACTCACAAACACATGCATAAAAGAAAAATATAATGATGGAAACAAAAGTGGAGGAAGTGAGTAAAACTCATAGAGAATTTAGAATGCATTCAAACTTAAGTGACCATCAACTTACAACAGACTGCTATAAACAAAACTTGGTATAGATGAAGCACAAGATAACCACAAACCAAAAATCTACAAGAGATATACAAGAAATAAAGAAAAAAGAATTCAAACACAACACTATAGAAAGTCATCAACATACAAGAGAAGAGAGCAAGAGAATAAGAAAGGAACAGAGAAAAACTACAAAAACAATCAAAAAACAATAAAATGGCAACAACTACATACCTGTCAACAATTACTTTAAATGTATTATGGATTAAGTGCTTCAGTGAAGAGACATAGGGTGGCTTAATGGATAAAAAGATAAGATTTATACATATGCTGCCTACAAGAGACCCACTCCATATTGAAAGATACACAGAGACTAAAAGTAAAGGGACAGAAAAAGATATTTCATGCAAATAAAAATGGAAAAAAAAGCTGGGGTAGCAATATTTATATCACACAAAATAGACTGTAAAACAAGAGACAAAGAAGGGCACTAAATAATGACAAAGGGATCAATCCAGTAAGAAGATATAGCCCTTTTAAACATCTATGCATCCAGCTTAGGAGCACTGCAATATATAAAGCAAATACCGACAAACACAAAGGGATAGACTGACAGTAAGACAGTCATAATATGTTCAGACTCTAGGAGAGGCTGAGTTGTGTGGCAGAAACCATTTTTTCCTCACAGGACTATAACACCTCTTTGAAATAAATTTATTAGATCATCCACACATAAAATCTGAAGGAAACAATGTCCTTAAATAACTCACTGGACAATTTGATATTTTTAGCCCAAAGCAGCAGAACACACTTTTTTTTTCAAAAGTACAGAGAACATTTTCCAGGATAGACCCCATGTTAGTATCTATCTCAATAAATTTAGTCTCATCAAATTTAAGACTGAAATCATATCAAGTGATTAAAA